CTTCGTGGCCTTCCCAGTCCTTCCACCATCGCTGCCTCTTCCTTCTCCTCGGCCTCGACGTAACATCGCCATCAAGATAGTGGCCTCATCATCATCATCAGCTTGCGCCAGATGAGCCTCAGCCTTCTTCTCCTGCTTACGATTTAGGCACTCCCGTGCCTATTGGCCCATCTTCCCACAACGCCGACAAGCATTGGGGTCGACCTGCTTCTTCTTCTCCGAAGAAGCCTTGACGCGGCGCTTGCCATCGCCACCACGGCTGGAGGAGGCTGCCTTCCCAGAGTTCCTCCGAGCAGCACACGCCTCTTTTGTCGCCAGAGTTTACCATTGCCCTTCGTTGTCGCCGCCGCCTGTGACGCCGCCCACCGCCGCAGACGGTCTCGTCACATCCTCAATGGTGAGGGTGGATAAGTCCAAAGATCGTCTCTATGGAGAGAGCGATCTCGATGTACTTCTTGCCGCACGGAGTAGAGGTACTTGAGACCGCCTTCTCTTCGCCAATGGTGACGCTGTGGCTCTTTTAGCTTGTCGATGAGCGCCTCGCAGCGGAGGGAGAAGTCCTCCACCGCTTTCACCATCCTTAAACTTGAGGTTGGCATACTCGCGCTTGTAAGCTGGGTTGTCGCTTCTTTGTGCGGTCGGAACCGACGCCAAGATCGCCGCAATAGTCTCCCACGACTCCTTAGCCGAGCTCTTCGCCTCTAACGGCTCCCCTCAGACTCTCGCACACAAAGAAGCGAGGATAGCTCCAACGCCGACATGTCATCTTTCTCATTGTCGGTGCCCTTTTCAACAGCATTCCAGAGCCGTCGGGCTCTGAGCTTGACCTTCATGGTCACCGACCACTCTCCATAGTTGGTGCGAAGTCAAGCGTCCGGTCAAGCTGGTGTCTGCTTGACCTCCGCAGATGCGGCGAACAACGACCTTCGGTCGTCGGTTGGGCAGCCACAAGAAGGAAGCATCATTGTCGCCCATTTCCGAACCGCCCATCATCGCCAGCGGTTAGTCTGGCGACGGCGTTCGTACGGCTCTGATACCACTTGTTGGCCCACAGGATCACCGGCTCAGGTGAGTCTACCACTCTCCAGTCTTGCCGACCACGGCCGAGCAAGACCGAGGATGTCCAACCCCACACACTATGGCTAGAGGTAGAAGAAGAGGAAGATCAGAGTACACACAGTACAGACACCAGCGTTGGCCACAGCCCTGTATAGGAGAAGGCAAAACTAAACTCTCTTTACTGAGTTGCCATGACAGTCTATTTATACAACTGTATCCATCTAGTCCTAGTACAGCGCACATGCTGTAACAGTAACTAGATAACACAACAGGACTGACTTCTGCGCCTGTCCCTGCATGTGGCTACAGTCCGGCAGGTGAGCCGTTCGGCGCCTACCTCTGCAGCGGCTACATTACCACAGCAGGGGGTCTTTTCAGCGCCGCCTTCTCTTGCTGTGTGTTCACACAAGAAAACAGTAGATTATCTAACGATATAATCCCTCTCTGTCAAACATACCCTTACGCGTGGCACACACGCGCATGTTTTATTAACTGATTGTTTTGTTGTGTCTATAGTAGGTCGTAACCAAAGCTATTTCTCTCCTTTGACATAATGACACATAGTTTTCCTATGTGTTCGCGGAAAGAAACCTTCTTACAGAAAAGTACATATAATCACTGGATGTCGACTGTCGAGTGACAATGATAGGGATGCTGCTTGTGCTTTGGTGCTAGCTAGATCGATTTTGGTTAAAACTTTTGTAGGGAAAAGTGCATATTCAGCTATTGTACTGTAATGTCAGTGACTTCAGCCAGAGAATCAGAGACAAATAATCACTTGTATTAATTGTGCCTAATCAAGCACTCCAACGGGCCAGCTGGATTATAGGTCATTCGGACAGCAAGGAATGCACATGATTCTGATTGGAAGGGTTCTTAACTTTTCCTTTTAAAACCTGCAAAACATGTGATTTTTCACACACATTCTAATTTTGTTCTCTCCCAATTTCTTCACTCTTCCAGAACTGGTATTGCCTTTCCAAGACACTGGCAGAGCGGGAGGCATTTGATTGGATCGATGTGGTGTCAGTCTGCCCATCACTGGTGATTGGGCCCTTGCTGCAACCCACACTGAATGCGAGCAGTTCGGTCGTGGTTGATTTCCTCAAAGGTTTACTACTTTTTTCTTTCCTTTGATGAATTCTTGCACAATTTGTAGCACATCCTGTTGGATTTGAGACCTGAAATGTGGTTTGTGTTATGTCTTTACAGGAGATCGCTTGGTGAAAATGAAACTGAGACACTTTGTGGATGTTCGCGATGTCGCTGATGCTCTTCTCCTAGTGTACGAGAGTCCGGAGGCATCTGGGAGGTATATCTGCAATTCGCACGCAAGGCTGGTATCTGATGTCATAAAGCTACTCAAGAGCTGGTACCCGACTTATCAATATGCCACCAAGTAAGCCTGTTCTTGATTATCAGCAATCGTGTTGCTTCTTCCGAACTCCGATCATACATATAAGTTAATCTAAGTTTGTCTAAACTCAGTTTCGTTTAGTTCTGATTATTAGTATCCAAGTGTGCGAAAAACTAGTTAATGTTGCACATGACGTCAAGGTAATTGTGGTACTTTTGATTATAAGTATCCAAGTGTACTTAGAATGTCGTACTAGTGTTCTTTGTTGCTTGGAAAGGCAGGACATAACCCATTATGCTATATGCTGTGCTGTGCTTTGTGAAATTAGTAATCCTAAGAGCTGTCAAGGGCGTCAAACCCTCGCATAGCTGGCCCTCGGCTACGCAACTCGTAGCCTCGGTCCGTCGTCTTCTCCGGCGAGGTTGCCCCTGCTGCAGGCTTAGTTGAGAGAAGGAGATAGGAGATTAGATGGTAATATTTTTCTTAATCCCAATTGTTTGCGGAAGTACAGATAAATAGGCCAGCCTGCCTAACCAACTTGGCAACAAACTATTCCTGGAAATAACCTCTCCTAGACTTAAGGGAATAAAAAGGAAACTAATCTCTCTTTCCTCTCAGCCACTCGCGCTGGCCTCCTCCCGCGCGGCTGCTACGCTGATCGCATGCTCTGTGGCGCGCCGCACGTCACGCGCCCGTCGACGCCTAGTATACGTGCGTCCCCACATGACATCTCTCCCCCCTCGAGAGCCAGCTCGTCCTCGAGCTGGAATGCCGGATAGCGCTCCTAGAAGGTGTCGAGGTCCTCCCACATCGCTGAAGCCGCTGTTTCGCCCTTCCAGTGGACAAGTACCAGATGAACACCGCGGGCGAGGCGCGAGCGCACGATGTGCTCTGGCTCGGGCTCGACGGCGCCATGGTGGATGGCCGGCAAGGCAGGTGGAGCAGCCAGAACCGGCCCAACGAACTTCTTGAGGAGTCCCACATGAAACACATCATGCAGCTTGGCACGTGGAGGCAGCTCGAGGCGAACGGCGACGGGGTTGATGAGCTCGACTATGCGGTACGACCCGTAGTATCAGGGCTTCAGCTTGCCCTTGGTGACTTGGGGCAAGGAGGCCGGAGTGCGATGCCGAAGGCGCAGGAGCACCCAATCACCCACTGTATAGGAAACAGGGCGGTGCAACTTGTCGTAGTGCTTCTTGTGGATGGCCTACGCCTGCTCCAGGCGATAGCGGACGTCCGCCAGGAACTCCTCCCGGTCCGCCATGCTCCGCGCGACGGCAGCCACGCGAGTCTCACCCGGTTCATAAGACCGGATGGTGGGGGGATCGCGGCCGTAGACCACCCTGAAGGGTGTGTCCCGCAATGATGACTGGTAGGCGGTGTTGTAGACGTACTCCGCCCATGGGAGCCAGCACACCCAATGTCGTGGCCGATCGCCGGTGAAGCAACGTAGGTACATGACGATGACGCGGTTCGCCGCCTCGGTCTGGCCATCATACTGGGGGTGGAAGGCTGTCGTCATATGCAGATTGGTGCCCATGAGCCGCATGAGCTCTCGCCAAAACGTGGAGGTGAACACGGGGTCCCGGTCCGACACCATGGACTGGGGAACACCATGAAGACGAACGATGTCCGCGAAAAAAGCCTGTGCCACGGACTCTGCAGTATATGGGTGAGCCAACGGAATGAAATGGCAATACTTGCTGAAGACGAACGATGTCCGCTCCTCTTGTTCCACCTGGGAGAGGCGCTTGACCGGGCGTCCATCGATGGTGACCGTCGGTGGGGCAGCCTTGGGCGCTGCTGGAGCCAGCAGGGCGTGACATGGTGGAGGGGCCGGCAGAAGTCCCCGGGCTGCGGTCTTGGGCTGGGCGACGGTATACTGCTCCATCAATTCCATCTGCCGGGCCAAGCTCATGGCCGTCGCAAGAGACTGCGGGTTTTGAATCTACACGGCGAGGCTCAGCGGGGGCAGGAGACCTCTCATGAAGAGCTGGACGCGTTGCGCCTCGTCGAGTCGCCCTGCGCGCGGCAGAAGGCTTTGGAAGCGGTCCTGGTATTCCACCACCGAGCCCGTGCGCCGGCAATCCGCCAACTCGAACAGCGGGGCGGAGCGAAGCGGCGGCCCATAACGCAGGTTCAACAGCTTGGTGAAACGCCGCCATGACGGCGTGCCCTCATCTTGTTGTACCTGCATGTACCACATCTGGGCGCCCTCTTTGAGGTTGTACAATGCCATCCAGACCCTCTCCTCTTCCATGATGCGCTGCTGGTGGAAGTAGGATTCGCAGCGGTTAAGGAAGATGAGGGGATCGGTTTTGCCATCGTACCGGGGAAAATCCATCTTCTGGAATTTTGGCGGTCGGTCATTATGGTACTCGCTAGACATCGGCGCCTTGCTGCCCGAGGAGGACGAGCGGTAGGCGGCGAGGGAGGCGATGGCCTTGGCGTTGGCTTCGACAGTGGCCTACAGCGACTTGACGACTTCGGCGAGCGACTCCACCATGGCCTTGAGGTCACTTTGGTCACCCATGGCTGCCGAACACGATGCTGTAGAAGACGATGTCGGGGCTGGTGGCGCGGCGGCTGGTGGTGGTGGGGTGGCGGCGGCTGGTGGTGAGGTGGATCAGGAAGGCGAGGATCGCCAGGATCATGATACCAGGTTGTCAAGGGCGTCAAACCCTCGGATAGCTGGCCCTCGGCTACGCAACTCGTAGCCTCGGTCCGTCGTCTTCTCCGGCGAGGTTGCCCCTGCTGCAGGCTTAGTTGAGAGAAGGAGATAGGAGATTAGATGGTAATATTTTTCTTAATCTCAATTGTTTGCGGAAGTACAGATAAATAGGCCAGCCTGCCTAACCAACTTGGCAACAAACTATTCCTGGAAATAACCTCTCCTATACTTAAGGGAATAAAAAGGAAACTAATCTCTCTTTCCTCTCAGCCACTGCGCTGGCCTCCTCCCGCACGGCTGCTGCGCTGATCGCGTGCTCTGTGGCGCGCCGCACGTCACGCGCCCGTCGGCGCCTAGTATACGTGCATCCCCACATGACAAGAGCATGGGATCTTATATCAAACTGCTAAATTGGAAAAAGGAGCATGTAAGAATGTTGGCCCTGTTCGCTTTGCTAAAAAGCTATGGCTGAAAGTATTGTTCACTGATTTGTTGTGAGAGAAAAATATTGCTCGTTCGCTGAAATAATACAGCTCTTAAGACAAGCGAACTGGCCCATTATCATGTGACCTCTCATGGAGAAGAGTTCTGACACAAGTAAAAGAATGATTTTTACTAACGGTCAAAATTGATCTTCAGGGCCGGTTTAGTAGAATGTCATAAGTGCTTCTCATGTAAGCACACCCTGCCCAACCCAAGTTGCTGTGGTTCCGTGTGCGGCACGCACACTCTGCAAAACCCCAAACAGCAATTAGAATGTCATAATAGTAACAGTGATCCTTAGTACTTATCTTATGTTGTTTCTCATGCGGTTCCGTTGAAGTTTTGATTTCTCTTGGGGCATGGCGGGTGAATTTTAAATGGCATGGTCAATGCAATCTGACCTACTGCATATACATATTTTGTTCCCCAACCAATGGTAGGTTCGTCCAAGTGAGCCACGAGCCTCCATTCAGTTCCAAGAAGTTGCAGGCGCTTGGCTAGAAATTCAGGCCGTTTGAGGAGACCCTCAGGGACAGCGTTGAATCCTTCAAGGCAGCAGGTGTCTTGGATTGAGGAAACACTACTTCATTCCCTGTCGCATTTGAAAATCAAAGTTGTTGCCTCATACAGTAGATCATTGTCTTTGATCGATAATTGGGATGAGTAATGTAAGCATCAAAAGGGATCAAAGTTTTTTCATGTAATAAGCGGCATTTTGGCAATAGCAATAATAAGTATATCAAATTTTTATGAATGTATGTTATTGTTGGAGTCTTTAATTTGAATATCATGAATCAAGGAAGTCATGTACTACTATAGAATCCTCATCACCGCTGACTTTGTGCTTTGACGATGATGATCACCTTCATCATCGCCAGCTCAGAACCAACGGTAAAAATTGATTAAAATATTGAAAAAAAGTACCCACACCCTGCTGGCGGGCACCGCCGATGCAATGCTCTGCTGCCGGCCGTTAGATTGATCTCCAATCCCAAACTAGGCCCAACGGCCCAGTTGGGCCTTGGATCCACGCCCTGATCAGGGGCATCCAACCCACTATGGCTGGAGGGCCCCTGTCACACTGCGCTATATATAGAGATGGGGCCGGCGGCTCTTTGTACGAGGTTCGCCTGAGCCGAGCTCTCCACCGAAACCTAAACCCTAATTCCGATCAGAGAGGAGCGCAGCCAGTGATGGGAAGCCACCAGCCGCGCCGCCCCGCTCCACCGACGTCGATGACTTCCTCTTCCCCGAACGTCGCTGCCCGTGCATAGACTTCACCGACACAACGACCATGGCCGACGCCTCTAGATCGAAGGCCTACGATGGTCGGTAACCTAGCACTACTCCTTCCTCTAATCTCTATCTAGTTCATGTGCTAGGACATGTTATCCATTTACAAGATGTACCCGGCTAGATCTATGACTAGATGATCTTTTATCACTAACAATGGTACCAGAGCTGGGTTGCCAGTGTGTAGATCTGGTATGGGGTAGAGAATTAAAAAGAAATCGAAGAGTAACAGAGGGTTCAATCCGATTCGGATTGAAACCCTAACCCTAATCGGGTGAAGCACAGAGAAGAGAAAGGGTGTCGGTTTTTAGAAAGGATCTCAAAGCCAAAACCTAACCCGCGAATCAGTCATGGGGAAGAACAACAGTGAACAAAACCCTAACCCTAACCAAATCCTAATCCCCAAATCGGACAAATCCGAGAAGAAAAGAAAGGAAAATCAAATCAGAGAAGAAGAAGGGGAAAAGGGGAAGAGCCCTACCTTTCCGTGCACCGCGCTGCCGCCTCGCCAGAGCGCGGGAAGATAGCCGAGCCGTGCGAGCTCTGGCCAAAGGCGCCGCCGCTT